ACGTCAGAGGTTCAAGCAGTTCTCCTATGGAGGCCAATCCTGCAGCACGTAGGGAAAGCCTTTCAAGCCTCTTGAAGCGCAAGCTTATCCCCAGAAATCCCCGCAATATTGTATACGAAATCATTAGAGAAAGGGCAGTTCCCTGCACCTATGGACCCCTCAGGTCCCGCCTCCCTATGCAACCACAAGTTTCAGGATCTCGGCGCCCACGTTGCATACACCTCTGCCATTGCTTAGCCTCTCCCTGCTGGCAGAGATGCTAAGATACCTAGGGAAACATTGACCTCTACCTGGGCAATCACAGCTATCACCTAAGCTAAGGTCCTCATAATGTGAGAGTAGAAATAGAAGTGAAGCGGAAAAGAGAAAAACTGGAGAATAGGAGAAAGAAAAAAGCCATCTCTGCTGCTATTGTAAGTCCTATGACCCACTTCAAGCCCGGCCTTCTAAAAGAAAAGGCAATGAGAGAGAATTGCATGGGTGATCAATCTTTTCTCACTGCGTCCACCCCCACAGAATAGCACACACACCGGTAAGGCAGAGTGCACACAAAATTAGCCTCTCCAGCCCCATGGTCTAGTGCATCTTGTGCACCCAATACAAAGGTATTGGACAGTTGATCCAAACCTGAAAAACATGCATAACAACCCTTATCTTGTGCGAAAACAGCTCCCATAGCACTTGCACTGGGAGGTGACTTAATTCTTGGAAAAAAAAATATTCACGTGGGCCTTTTTGTTAGTCTCGGTGCTCGGTGAAGCCCGTGGCTAGGCAGGTACTCGTACCCTATATATCAATATATCATAGCTATGAGTGAGGCATCTTCCTATAATTCTATATATTAAGACCAAAAAGGAAAAACGCGTAGGTTTCAGTCTACGTTGCTGATAAGCTGAAGTGAGGTGGCGAGGGTAGTGCTCTCCCACTCTCTAAGTGCAGTTGGAGCTCATTTTTTTTTTTCACGTGGGGGAATATGCATTAGCCAACCTGGGGTAATGAGGGATTTGAGTAGGCATCAGCAGACTTCTAGGTAGTAGTTCTGAATACGTGTTAACACATTTTGCCCTAACTATGATTCTAGCTGCGTCAATACCCCAACCTTCTCCAGCAGAAAATTAATTGCAGTTACCCCCCCAAGTGATGGAGGGAAGCTTTAGTGACGATATCCAGTGAACCTTGTAGGGTCGGGGGGTTTTTTTATCTATAAGATTAGCAACAGTGGGGGTCAGGCGCACCAACCTAAATGTGGGAGTGAGAGATACGGTATGCCTAAAAAAACAAAGAGAAAATTCCCGAGAATAGGGCTTGGAAATATAGACTCCTATCTGTTATAGCAACGGGTGATTGCAGGTGAGCTAGATTCTAGGTCACCGGAATAGAGACGGTAATTGGGCGAGTGATCAGCTATGAGCACCGCTTCTACGCAGTAAACTATCGAATAGTGGGGAACAGCTATCAAAGACATAATAAAGAGCAGGGATTGGATGTCTACCCCATGTCTACTTCAGATTTGCACATAAAAGCCCCTACCGTGTTCCGGCTAGCCACTTGACTAAGATTAACCAATTCCATTATTGCCACCCATTCTCACACTGAGTGGTACAAGGAGCTGCTACCTCAGAGAAAGTAAGACTTTTTGGCCGAAAGACATCAATAATACGCAAACAAGGTGAAAAATCACATGAATGATCGCTAATATCTAATGGGTAGCAGGAAGACACCGATGACAAATGCAATGAGCATAGTGCATACCGTACCATACACACATCGAACAGGCAGGGGGAGAGGATGGAATGCCACATGGATTAGGGAGGAGAGGAGTACCGTAAGGGATCCCCAGCTCACACATGGCAGGCTATGATTTTCCTTTTAAGATGGGACGAATACGATAGAAAATAGGAAAAGCAGTCGCACTCGAGACAGGGTAGTATGATACGAACAAATCCCAGGAATAGCAATTAGGAATTAAAGTTTATAATAACCTGCTAACCTAGCGTTACATGGTCCTTAAAAATTTGACATATATATCACCAAAGTGCAGGAGCTCGGGTGTCTGCATAGTGCTTTTTTTTTCGTTGTTTTTTTCTCGAGCCATAGCTCTCCACACGCTGCTAGGAAGACTAATTCCAGCTTTGGCATCGACTATTCACTATGACAGACAGAGTCATTGACTGCCCGACGCCTGATGACACCCATCTTGGCAACGTTTTAGTTTTCAATTGCTGCGTTGTTATGTTATCGATAGAAATCCCCAGCACTGCCGAATATAGACGTGCAAGAAAAGAAAAGAGCTAGTTATGAAACAAAATAAGGAAATGCATATTCACAAACCCCTGGTTAAGGTGAGGCTGTGAGGATATGCAGAGGACGTGGAGGTTGCTGATTTCGAGCTTCTTCGACAAACCGGTATGCAGCAACTAACATAGGTTGCTTTGTCGGATGACATTATTTTCCTTGCTTCTGGTACCCTCGGTCTCTTCTCCTTGAAACATGACATCAACTAGATGTGCCCTAGCCATTTGCTCCTAATGATTGGTGCAACATAGAAGCTTTCTTCTTTCTGCATCTTAGCGAATTACCTTTTGGCAGAGGCATACCGTACGAGTACTTTTTCTGGGGGAAAGGTTACACGGGGTGGGATTGATTTCATCCGATGTGACATATACCCACTAATAGTGCGGCAATCTTACAGAAATCCCCAACACGCTTTTTTTTCTTTTCTTTCCCCCGGACATTGGATTACCTACTAACCGTGGCGTATATCAGACACTCCGTGCAAGTGATACAACGCTTCATCTTCGTACTATACGTGTGTACGAGTACGGGAATGGTACGGCAAAATATACATACCGCGAATGTTGAAAATCCCCATGTCCACAGCCAAGCCTATCGATGCGCATCGTAGTAGTTGCACTGCCGCGCCGTGCAGTACTCGCCGACTGCCGTTGTGCCAGTACCGGAAAATCTCAAACCCACATCTACCCATTCCCTTTAGGATTTGATTCAGCCTGCATATATCGTACTGGAGTGAAACAGAAGTGCCGAAATGGTCTTTCTTTTCTTTTTCTTTTCCTTGCTGTTGAGATGAACTTGGATCAACGAGTTGCCTTAGTTCCTCTGGTAAAGAAAAAAAAAAAGAATCCCCCCCCACAAACACTCTCCATTGTGTGTTGTGCACAAGGGCCAGCTGGCAGGCAGTTCGCTTCCTAAAACTTTCGGCGCTACACATGGATAGCGAAACACTTTAGGACATGTCTTTGGTGTTGCCCCGGGTTCGATAGAGACCCGACTCACCTTGCTGGCATAGAATAGGAGGGACGGAGGAGGATAGGGGGGGCGTGGGACATGGGGCGGATACTGGTTGTTATTCCCATTTGTGAACAACAATTGGCTAGTCTAACCTATGAACTCTACAGCAACATCTTTGGTTAGCAAGACTGAACCTTACCACCTCTGCCCCCTTACAAGAAACTTTTATTGGCAATTCCAACTTACTAGTCCCACAGCATACTTAGACAGGCCCTGTTAATGGGAGAGGCTACCTCGAAATTTGTACTATACACGACTACGCGCTATTCGTGGAAACCTGTGATCACCACCCGGTGGGGTGCTCATGTGGTAAGTCGCAAGTTGCGCCCTGCGGGTGCCGCACCTTTTGTTGAATTTTTGCCCCATACCTCGGCACTGTACCACTCTTTAAAAACAAAATAAGACCTGAGTCCCGGCTCGTAGTACCCTCGAGAAACGCTCCCACGGCCGGGCCCGGGATTACCCGAGCGGTAAATCTGAACTAAATGTCGAGGGGAGAGGGGCACAGACAATAGTCTAACGGAGAGGGGAGAGGTTGAGCGTTCTGCCTGGGAAAATGGGTTTCGTAAGGGTAGGGTCTATACGTGCATCGCGATAGCAAGAAAAAGAGAGCAGCGACTAGAAAAAAAAATAGACGTAAAAAAAACAAATCTGCCCTCGGGAAACGTAAACATAATTAGACAAGGATGTCTCAAGTAATGGGTGGTATCTTTGCTCTGGAATATCACCAGTGGTATCGGCGCAAAAACGAAATGAAAACCATATCGCAGTGGGTCGACCGAACAAATTTATTGAAGGGAGGGGTGGTATTGATATATTTCATATGCGTTGATGGTTGAGCAATGTCTCATATGATTGGGTTGAAATCCCTTTGGCCATTAGGGCTTTATTCGATATCTTCCGGCCACCTAAAGGGCCCAGATCCGAAGTAATTAATTGACCGCTTGCTTGTAATTATTGCGCCATACCTACTCGTCGAAGCAGGAAACATGAAGTAGGCACCAATTGGCACCTTTAAATAATTGGTCGCAGCCCGCAGTGTGGCCTGTTGAATCCAAGTTTTTTTTTTTTTCCCCTCCTCTCCCCCTCGCTCTTCTTCCCCTGTGGTACCTGGTAGAGTATCTTTGCGTGCATTGATGAGAAACCTGTGTAGCGTGAGTGCCCTCTCTTTCTCTTTCTTTTGGCGAGCTGGCAATCGCAAAAGCTCTTGTTGTGTCCTACATTTTTCCCGCACACCAAAGAGGGACTCTTCACCCTTCCTTTTCTATCAGTGCAGCGATAGGCAGTTTTAGTATATATGTCGCGAGATTAATGCAAACATACGTTTCGCCAAGATCATTGCGAATCACTCGGATCTCTAGGCACTTTCTCTCGCGGGAAACCTGAAGCCGAGTATGTGGGAGTTACCCATCATCGCACACCGGTCCCACCCTTAGTGTTTAACACAATCGCAGGAGTCTATTAAGAGCGGGAAGCTACAGTATTGGTGTCAAGTGGTAATCAAGAGTCCGGATCTGTGGTGTTGAGGTGCATTCAGGTTTACTGCTCACATCTCGTGTTTGCCCGCACACCGCAATCCAAATTTGATACTGATATCGCCGGGCATTGTTTTAAATTAATTCGGACACACGCAAATGCCGATAAGGCGGGGTGAAGAATTCAACCAGCAGGAGATTATTTGGTCAGAGTGTGCCAGTTCTGAAGCTCTCTATTCATCTATACAGAAAACATAGGAAAAGCGAATTACTTTGTACTTCTGCCAGCAGCAGTTTGGGAGTAGATTTACAGAACCCCATTGAGCCTTCCTTGGGGTAATGCCTCTCCTTAGTTTTCCATCTCCCTTCTTCCCACAAGGACCTCTCATGCACTATACAAAATAGAAGAAAAACCGCCCTTTGAAAAAGCCAAATGAAAATCAAACCCCCGCCCAATCACCTATCATCCACACAACCCAACTGCACATCTAACGAGTGAAGCGAAGATGTCCTCCCAGAAATATCTTCAGTGTCCCAAGCGCCCTCCATTACCGCCTTGTGTCGTCCGGCCAAGCAAGCATCCGCTTCATCTTCCAAAGCAGTGCTGACGGAGGAGTTTCGGGGGGCCGTCGATGAGTAACCATACTGCGGAAGCCAGAGCAGCGAGCCCGGGTATAATCGCAGAGCTGGGTTCACTTGGCAGCCGGCGCAGAGGGGTACGTAAGGTAAAACTTGGTGGTTTATCGGGAGCACGCTGGAAGGCGAAATCTTTGAGGGGTCGAATATGTCGGACCCCCGGCAGTAAGGCTGATATGCAGGACCAGTCCAATCTGGAGTCTGGAACATTGGGGGTTGCTGCGAGCTCATTGCTGGGTCGTTTCTACCCTTCTCGTTGATACAATTACTTGCGAAAGAGATTAGAGTCGAGTCGGGCTCTTGTTTGAAATATTGTTGATGGGTCGATGTGCGGGATTGTGGTGATTGGGTACCGGACGGCATGCAGACATAATCCCCTGGGAAACAATCTCTATCCCCGGGAGTGCCTATATGGTGATAAAGCGGCGATGTTGGCAGTGATACAGGCGATCGCGAGCTGGAGGAGCTATCATGAGCCTGGATTGAAGTGTTTATAGGCGTGGTTGGGATGCGATTGCCGTTCGGTCGATGTGAACCCTCGAGAGAGGTACTGCTAGAGCGTCTTTGCTTTGAGTTGCTAACCACAGAGGCTTTTCCACGTTTCTTCTGCTCCCGATTGTACTCGCACTGCAGTCCAAAAACTAATGAAAGGGAAGGGGAAAAGTCAGATTAATACCTCTCCCTAAGATCGAAGCTCCCCAAGGGGAAATAGCTGGATGGTGATCTCACCCAAACAATGCTCACATGGCTTTTGCCCATCGCACTTGGTGCGGAGTTGGTTGCATCTATCGCAGGCCCTGGAGACCCTCTGTCTGGTTCCCATACTCCGCCGGGTTACCATGCTCGGATCAACGTTTTGTGTGTGATGCATTTTTTTTTTTCCTCTCGATTTTGTCTCTTTGTTGGGATATCGTGAGGTGGGGTTATCGGTAGGGGTAAAAAAAAAGTTCGATGTTCAAGTTCAATGGTCTCGGGCGATACGAACGCTTTTTCAAGTGATAGTGGAAGAGTGGTCTTCTTGAGGGCCACACCCATGTAGCTACTAACAGCAATTAATACTGGCCTGTTGAAATCGACCCCACCACCCAGCGCACCTCCGCATTTTAATGCGTCATCTTGGTGTACTCGTATGGGCTATTTTGTCACCGAAGGGTTTACCACCGAAGGCAAGTAGCAAGTAGGCAGGTCGGTTGATAGCCAGGCAAAGGCGAGCAAAGCATGCTAAGCTGGCCAAGCAGATAGCGGAGAGAGGATGTTCTACTGTTGTAGGGCTTCAAATAATTCTTTGCTTAAAATTTATTCAATTGGCCCAGGAAGCCAAAAAGGGGATGGCTCAGAAAAGTAAAGGATCAGCAACCCCTGCTAATGGTGGCGCGCATTTGGTGTGATGGAGGTTTATTTTTCTGGTGCAAGCAAAGGGACATACATGTGAGAGGCTCATACTGCTGCATGCGCGAGTAATCCCTCTCGGTCCCCGACAGGCACTAGACAGCCAAATGATGGCCTGAGAGGCTTCTGCACGCAACATGAATTTTCACATAGATGGGTTGTCTTGCCCACCTGAATGGTTCCCATCTTCTCGAGAATCTTTTATGTCTTTGCTGTCCCTCGGAAACTCCAATGATAAAAGGATCTCCCCCTCTTCCCCAAATTGTTCAAAAACTTACTTCAGTGCCCAGCCCACAGCTGCTCGAGTAGTTACAACCCTACCGTTGTTGATAGCTACCGTATGCAGCTGCACCTTAAAAAAGTTAAGCTCTGTGTATTCCTTGCAGAAGATCTGTTTGGTTTGCGGATGGGTGTAACATTGGTGAGGAAAACCTTTATGATCGGGTCAGGTCGGGGCTTGCGGCATGTCGGGGGGCCAAATAATTTGGATCAGTATAGTAGGCTACTAAACCCCATTCCCGCCCACCCCCCTCCCCCTCCCCCTCCCCCTCCTTCCTTCCGTTCCGGTTTGCTCCCTATACCTGAATGGCCAGAACGTGCCTCGAAACTTACATAGAAGCTTTGCACAGTAGCTAAGAGTAAGGTGCTATATAAGTTGTTTTAACTGAAGATTAAAAAAAAATTCGCTCTTTTCTAATTGCCCTCAGGATAGTCAATTCACTAGCTCTACCGCAGCAATTGTTTATATTCTCATCTGGGACCGGCAAGTCACTGGCCAGTACCGAAGGGTAGACTGCACCCCCCCCCCCCCGAAAACGAAAAAAAAAATTACCGCCAAGCTTTCAGGGATCAGTCAAATCACTCAAGCCAGTGAAGAGAGAGAAAGAAAGAAAATGGTAGCATTGAATGACCCACCGGTAGCCAGACGGGTGTTTCCATGTGGCTCAGAATGGCAGTATACCACACAAACCCAAACAAAGAGAGACCTCCATAAGTACTGTACAATCTAATATGTACTCGAGTACTGTACATGCTACTGTATCTCCCCCAAGCCAGCTCATAGAACCCACACACACCTCGCTCTAAGGAATTGTCTTCCCTCCGGACGAAGGGTCGTTACAATGCGGGGCGAGTATAACACTCGAAAGAAAATGATTTAATACCCCCCCCCCTCTCGTATTCCCTAGTAATAATAAATAAATAGAAGTAAACCGAGAGTTTCGGTTGCCGATACCTAATCTAGAGTGGCAACGTGGATTTTTTCTACTTTGTAAGAGCCGAGTTTTTTTGCTGCGCGATTTTCACTACAAGACTAACCTACCCCCAAGAATCAATCATGAAGGAGCACTCGGCTGAAAGTTGATTCTGACTTGAGCGTGCGTCGACTGGTATGGGGAATCCCGAAGGAAGAGGTTATCAGTTATGGAGAGTGCCCAAGTCTGGAGAGGGCTTCCTTATCTTGCGAAACAATTACCTACTTTTTGGAAACCCTCCCGAGCCTTTCTTGCTCCGTTTTTTCCTTCTTCTTTCTCATTCGCTCTGCCCCCCCCCCCCCCCCCCTTGTTTTTTTCCTTGCCTACAGCTATGCCCTACACTTGGTTGGGTTGGAACTGGTAGTGTTGTTGATTGGCTCCAGGGAATGGAGGGGCGAACCTTTAGAATGGCTCTACTGCATATGTATCCTCCTCCAAGTAGAGTACTCGTGCATGCCAACGGATGCAAGTCAGAGAGCTTGACGGAAAAACCTAACCCTGTTTATCAGTCTATCCCACTAGACATTCTCGCAAATAGGTGCTGTAAAACTATGCTACAAGTATCCGCGAATAAGAACTCGGCTAACTTTCGCTTATTATTTGTTAGAGCGGTTGGCGGCTTGCAGGGAGTAAATCTGGAGGGGGAGGGAAGAAACTGCCAGACCCCCTGAAGGAGAATGATGAACTTATTCCTGCGATGTATACTCGAGTAGACTATCTTATTTTTAAAATAGATAACCCTTGGAGGGGGTCGTACTCATAGAGGTGGTGGTGGGGAGTATGTGGTTTGGGGTCGGTTATATGTCCTGATTCCGTACACCCAAACAGATTATTATTTTTTCTCTCCACCTTTCTCAAAAAGCCTGAGCACAGTACCCCTCACAAGTTTTACGCTTGCATGCAACTACGAAGTCTTTGCCATCGACACACAATAACGAAAACAGCAAGAGGTGGTGGGGGAAAAGCGAGGGGATAATTGATAAAAGTAAAAAATAAAAAGAACAAAAAAGATAACGAGCGGCAGGAACAGTGGGAAAGAGGAAAGAAGGTCCAATCAATTTTAATAGTGATACCGCAACCAATACCACGCTATCTAGAAACTCGTGGCCGGTTCGAGAAAGCGAAAGTGATGCTTTGAGCTACTTCTGCCACAGAAAAAGACATATCATACCTGCATGGCATGCGGCATCGTAGGATAAGGATAAGCTTTCGGGGACCCACTCTCATTTACCGAAACACAGAGTGCCTGATGGAACGCCTAGTGATTTGGGGCCGCCCGGTTCTTTACGCGCGCTACCGTAGGCATCTCTGTTGACTTGAGACACCATAATGTTAGTGATATTGGGTAAGGGAGAGGGAGAGGGAGAGGGCAAAGGAGCAAAATACCTGTTACGATCTTTCGGCAGCTCAAAATGGCCACATGCCCCTTTGGCCGGCTTGGGATCATAGGGATTTGACAGCCCCGGAGCCACATGCAATGGGAAGGCATCAAGCTGGTGCAATTTCAAACGGTACCTACGTTCGCGACCCCCCATGGAACTCGAATGTCAAAAAAGTGCCCCCGCTCTCTTCTGTCTGCAATGTCATTTAGTTAACACACGGACCTCGACATACACGCGATATATAGCCTATCTACCCAGCGAGCTCTCAGTATTACTTCTCCCCGTTTACTTACTATTATTGCATACCTACGGCCTTACAGGAAAGCTCGAATTCAGAGGTTGTTTCTGATACCATATGCCATATATGCCATATATCGCATATATGTAGGTTTACTATATTGAAATAACCCCGAGATGGGTTGCGTGATTCTCACATTTTCTTTTCCCCGGACCCCCAAACAACATCGTGAAGCCGAATATGAATGAGAGTTAAACCAGGAGATTATCTTTGTCAGGGTGCCATTCGAGTCCGGACGGTAGATATCTAACATATACTTTGAAAAAGCGGCAAGTTAAAGCTGGAACCCTCAACGAAACGGACCGGTTTCTTCCAGGCCGCTTTTGCTCCCCAGATTCACGTGATAGTTATACCTACCAGCCACATTCTTCCAAAACTATCTCCAAATTGTTTGGGGGGGTTTTTTTTTCTTGGCCAATTTTGTGATTCCCGGGACGTCCAGCATGGGAATCTACCGTACTGTGCTGTCGATCATCCATTGTGTCTCGGGTATCGCTTTTCCAGAGCGAATGATCCCAAAGCATCATGTGAAGAAACCCTCGTGCAAGCACTGACAATAACATAATCTGTCGGTCTCGATTTGAATCTCTGCGTCAATTGCATGGGTCCTTTTCGTAATATGCTTATTTCCTCTGTTGTATTTTTGGAGTATCATTAGACAGTGCCACTAAATAAAAAGGAAAAAAAGTGAAGTGAAACGCAAGTAGTGAAGTGGGACCGTCGTAAAATAAAAGCTTCTGACGATCGATCTAGTAACCTTAATTTCACCTGCGGACTTCTGAGGCGGAGTGATGGCATTCCTTATTTCCCCCTTGCTCATGCTGTAGCTTATGTAGATGAGGAACATCTTGTGTCCGGTACTTCCTCGCTGACCCTCCGAAGTTAAAGGTCTCTCCTCCGTAAAAATGGCCATGGTGAAAGCTTTCAAGGAAGCTTCCGTCTCCCAAGTGCTGGAAAATTTACCGTCCAGCAACCGGTCGGAGGCATTCCGAACGGCCCTGATGCCCGACACCCCTCCGAACGGGGTTTCCCGCGGCGAGTTCAAGGCTCCACCTGCACCGACATTCTTAGACACCGGGATGCCAGAAACGTAAGTGCAAGGTCTAAAGCTCGGTGAACGCGGAGTCGAGTACCTGCGTGTCGAACACATTGGTGAGCTGGGTGTCATCTCGTGCGACCGCTTAAACGATAGTTTACGGGTCGGATTTGGTCCTGATTGAATAGGGACGTTACTGCGTTACCCGAGTACCTTTGCCCCTTGCCTATTACGCGATTGGCTCCTTTGCTTTTACTATTCGGACACTCTGGGGGTCACTGTGCAGTAAAGTGCGGTGGGGTTCGTTTCAGCACCACAAAGCAAGCCGAAACCGTAAATAGATCGGAATGGTAAGGTGAGGGTGATTCCGCGTGTTCTAACGCAAGTCACCCAGAAACACTGCTCATCGGACCAAAGCCCGATATTATGGCCTGGAACTATGTCATTGGCAGCGACTGTATGAGGAATATTCGTTGCAAGGGGAAAGGGAAGAGAAAAAATGTGAGCGCTGAGAATGATTGTTGCGCAAGACCGGATTCCCGATCAAAAGCTTATTATTAGTCAGTCAGCCAG